CGCCAGTGGCTGACTTTGATAAGACGTGAAATAGGACAGCCCACACAGTCTATTATATTTAGCCTAAGTCCATCCGATATCGACCCGTCGCCAATCCCCTGCCCAAATTGTCCTGTCGCGTCACTCGTGGAGTCACAAACGGCCCGCCTTGTCTTCCATATTCGTGATCCGATTCAATATCGCCTAGGCGCCATGGTTACCAACTAGCCGAGCTTGACTGATAAACAAAAACTCCACGAACACTATACGATTTCAAGTCCCTGCCTCCTGACACCGTTTCCCATACCCGCGTCTTACCGAATCGACCGTGACTCTTATCTACGCCCGATAAAACAGCAATAATTCACAATGGGTAAACAAGTCAACTACCCTCGGCAGTTGGACAGTCCATCAAAACAGCTTATGCTGGACCTTGTCAAAGACCTGGAGGAGCTCCGGCTCCACAATTCCGAGTTAAAAAAGGTCAAGGCATACGAGCGGAGATCCTTCTACGAGACCCTCGACCGCATCGACCACGAACGCGAAATACAACACAATGCCGCCATCGATCGTGTCGCCGCGCTCCAGGGTCAGAGACGGGAGGAAGCCGAGGAAACTCTCAGGGATCACTTACGGGCCGAGCAGGAGGAACGTCGCCGAAAAGAAGAGGAGGCACGTCGGGAGAAAGAACGGCTAGAAAAGGAAAAGGCGGAAATATTACGGCGCGAGCAAGAGGAGGCCGCGCGAAAAGAGGCGGAACGAAAAGCGCAAGAGGAGGCGAAGAAGAAGGCTGCGGAAGAGACAGAGAGGGCACGCAGGACCGCGCAGGAGAAACAGGAACAAAAACAACGGGAACAGCAGGAGGAGGAAAAACGCAAGCACGAGGCTGAAGCCAAGAAGGCAGAACAAGATGCCGCCCAACACCAAGAGAATGCTCAACGACAGAAGCAAGCAGAGAAACAGAGACAGATGGGTGGTGGTCGTCAAACTGCCGAGGAGAATAAAGCACAGCTTCGCTACGTGGAATTACACCAGCATCTAAAGTCATTCCGTCAATACCTGAAGGAGCAGGCAAAGGCCAGCCCGGCTGTGAAGCAGTGCATGGGAGACATGCGCCGGTCTATCAAGAAGTCGGTTGGTCAACTGCGTGAGGGCAAGGGAGCCAACAAGACTCAGGTAAAATTGATCAATCTCTTTGAAATGAGTAGTGACTGACGCGTTTATAGCTCCAAGAAATCAAGGGCACACTGGAGAAGGCCGCTGCTATCCCAGGGCCGTCTTTGGACATTCGCCAATTCCTTGCGTTTCCGCCAGAAAACATTGCCAATTCCGATGGTATTACCGTACCAGCTCTTTTGATCTACGGCCTGAACATCTTTTCCAAAGCTTTAATCTCGTCCCTCATCACCGAAGCATCCATTAACCAGGGCCATGCTGAACCGATTGGCATCGTGGCGGCCCAGATCTTCTCCCAGGATGCGTTCATTTACAATGGATGTCACTTGGTTGATATCTTATGGGCGAAATATCGTGTAGCATGTCCAGCTTTATGGGGATTTTACGGGGATGAGAGGACAGAATCCGGACGACGAGCAGTAGGGTGGAAGAAAGAAGGAGATGGGACATTCGTCTCTGAACAGGGTCATACCGACCGAATGACAGCGTTAGGGGCTGGTTACGCCGCTCTTACTCTCCGCAATTTCGGCAAAACGCCGCGCAAGAACCCATTTCCTAACCAGATGTTCTGGTATTCAATGCATAAGATTCTGTCGATTCCTGTGGAGCACCTACAGGAAACACATATTTCTCTCCTGGCAGCTATGCTGCGTTCATCTGCGGAGAGAATCGTGGGCTTTTTCGGACATGTGGGTCTTGTGCTGATGAGGAGGGCGATTGTCGATATACCCAACACTCTTCCTCGTAAAAGCATGAGTGTCAACCAGTTGAAGCTTCTAAAAGACCTTTACAGTCGGGAGAAGAATATCATTATATGATGCGGACCGGTCATAGTATTAGCATTCGATGGACAGAAACCTCTATCTTTACCGCGCTTAGCTGCTGGCTTTTGCTTCAATGCCCTGGACCCTCAATTGGCGGATGGGCATTTTACATGCCTCGCTCAGGGTCGACAAGCAGGCTGGCTCGAGCACTCCCGCTTGGAAAGAGTCATGTTACGATGATGAGTTTGATTAGAATATCCTGTTTGGCATACTGGGTTTGAGTTTGGTTGCTTATGCATACGGAGTACATACTTTGATGGTCTTTCTAAGTTGGCCGTTTAGGAGGCCACCAGGTACATTGGAAGGGTATTTAATACCACTGCATTTATCAAATTCCATCAAATTCCGAACCGTCTTCCGAGTCTTCAACTAGCAAACCTTGATCGGGATCCCTGATCTCCGATCTACGGCCGAGGATCGCCCACTCTTATCTCCAACCACATCATAAAATTATCGCGCACCTTTTATTCTAGAAACACTTACCGTGATAAATTCCCGAACACCGCTGATTCACGATCGTGCAACGCAACGGATGGGTCATCGTTGGTCAACGGCGTGGGTCCGGTTCATCCACGGAAAGAACCATGAATCGTACGGATTGAATTTTTTTCGGGCGGGTCTATATGCATAGTTTTCTGCACTGATATTGTAGGATATCGCACCACAGCATTACACCTTACTCCTTATTCCATGCACAGTACTCCGTACAGCATATCGCATATAAACTAATAAGGATATCGGCACCGGATAGCCGAACTGCCCTGCCCGATCAGGATGCAAGTTCCGACGGGATAGATAAAGGGATTAAGAATAAAGGAATTAAGCATCCCGACCGGCCGGAGACTAATGACGTGCTCCACCGGCTTACCGTGGCGCCGTTTCGGTGCCGTTTGCCGGTGTTTATTAGAAAGAAAAAAAGAAAAGAAAAGGGAAGGAAAAAAAAAAAAAAGAAAAAGAAAGAGGACCTTTAGGGTTTTATATAGGGCCTCCCTGGTTGATTTCATTCCTGAATCTTTTGGCTCTGGTTTGTGAACCTTACTGCAGATTGATGTCATTCAATCCCCGAAATATAAGGAAGCCATCTCATCTACATACTCTTTTTTACCAGAATACCCATAAGGATCCTTGAACAGTGGTGAAATTGTGGCCGTGTAGGAGAATGGCATTACCCCTCCCAACAGAACTCATCCAATCCATCCTTCACTTCACAGATACAGAAACATACCACTCGGCGCGATTCACCTCTCGTCACTGGTACAATGCCGCATCGACACCTTACATGCTCCGCAAAGCGCTCGAGCAAACACCAACGCTCCTACCAGCATTAAACTCCCTATCCGAAACAAACTGGAACACGCTCTTTAACCAGGTCTCGCAACTGAACCTCTTCGAGTACCGATTACGATGCCTCAAGACGATATCCAAGGGTGATTTACCACAGGGAAGCACAGCATCTACACCATTAGCCACATCGCATGATGGCAAGAAAATAGTGGTACTGAAAGGCTCCCAAATAACCATCCACGATCATAATGATGAAGAGAAATACGAACTCACACTCTCCCAATCCCTCTATCCCCTCTGGACAAGTGTCTGCCGCGCACTACTTGAAGGTGGCGCCGGCTACGGCGCAAACCAGGGCTACGCGCGACACCGGCTTGCCGTTTCTTCGCGATCTGGTCTAGTTGCCGTGGGACTGGGGAAAACGATTCAGATATACAATTACCGGGATCCTGGATCTCCTGTTGAATATGTGTTAGGTCAGACGGAGACGGTTTTTAGTTCATCTTCGCCTGCGCCTGGGCCGAATTACAGGGAGACAGATGGTGTGGTGGAGTCGCTGGAGTTTGTGGATGGTGATGGGGACATGCTTCTTCGCGTGGGGATTGGGAAGGAATCGAATCCGAATCGAACGTATCGGGTGCGGTATCTGGGTGATCCGTCTCGTTCGAGCCAGCAGCAGCCGTCTCTCTACTACTGGCGCCAGAATCTCAACCGGGTATATCTCGACTCGGTAGCATTGGCTACCATTCTGCCAAATAACGACTACAAAACTGCGCTCAACGGTATCCATCTTCTTCCACAATCACCATCAACAACATCACGCTCTTTCATCGCAGCACTCAAAACACAAGATGTCCAAGGCTACTGCATAGCAACTGTCATACCATCCTCATCACCACTACCAGACGACGAAGAGCAACAGATAATAATATCTCACCACCTACCTTCAAAAACCAACTATCTCACACCATCGACTCACTCACCAACGTCCAAAGCAAGGAACACTTCCGATCCCATCAACATCTCGCTGATGGACCAAACGCTAAATGATAAAGCTGTCGTTACCCAAAATCTTCTTACCGCGACTACAGACCGCTGGGATAGTGTCCATCTTCCCGCTGTTACTGCGAGGAACCCGTTGATATCTGTTTCGGATGATGGACAGTTACTTGTTGTTTATGAGCAGGGAGGGGGGCATTCGTTTCGGTATATGGCTGGTGGGGGGTTGTATGTTTTTAGTCTTGATGATTCTATCACCAGGACAGGTGGTAGTGGAGAGGCCAAAATGGTACAGCCGTGGCCATATTTATTAGATATTGTTGACGTTGACGTTGATGGTTTGAAGGTTGCTAAGTCCGAGACTGGAAATGGGACGAATGGTTACACCGTGACCGCAACAGCGTTAAATGGACAGTGGGTGGTGAAATGGTGTTTGGGTTGATTTATCATTCTCAGCATTTAAACTTTAAGCTAGCATTGATGGCGTTAGACTACTTCATCATAATAACTAATATGATCGCTTACCACTGCGTTCCCACATCATCGGGACAAAGTAGAGTGATTATGTCCAATTAGGGTATCGTATAAAGTATCTCACCACCCGACAGACAAGTCTCGATAGCTTCAACATGCATGTGTGTGCGTCTGCTGCCCTGCCATAACCAGTAAAACAAACAGAAAAGAATGTGGATTAAATTAACAACGGGGTTCAGGGTTAAGGATTGATGATTGTACAGTTAAACTCGTATGTAAATGTAAACAATTGGTCCACAAAATCAACAGGGTGGTATCAGGGAAGTCAGATGAGAAAAAAAAAATCATATATGTGTACAGAAAACAGGAAAGATCGTAAATCACACTACCATGACAAATGCCCAAATGTTCAAACAAATTCAAAAGGAAAAATAAAAGGGAAATTAATCGGAGATTAGTCGGAAATTATCTCCGGCCCAAATGGCTCAGACACAGCTTCAGGCATAGGCTCAAGCCCGTCCTCCGTTCCCATAGTCTCAGTAGTCTCCAAAGTTATCGTGGTCGTATCCTTGGGCGACGCAGAAACTATCTCATCCGCCATGCTCTCCGCTTCTCCGTCCTCTGGGAACGGCTCATCGTGCTCGTAAGTGGTTGATTCGGCATCCTGATCATAACTCGACCGTCGAAGGAGCGGCGGAGTCTTAGGCGGTTCTTGCAAGCCATCATGGCGCCCAGAGAGCGGTCGTGGCGTCGGGTTGAACGATCTCATCGGACGACTTTCCGATGTGCGTCGCGACCCGGATTGGAGAAGTGCGTTTGCTCTGGGAGACTGGCGAGCGTTGGATCCCGGGGGTGTCAGGAGTCCCGAGAAGAAGTTGCTGGCGTTGCTTGGCTTGGACGGTGTCTGGTCTGTAGCGGAGTTTTCTCTTGTACGGCGCCAGCTACCCCAGGCAGCTGCTGCGGCCAAGGGGAGATTACGCGGCGATGCAGCCAGCTCGGTAATGGAGAGAGATGGGAAGCTCTGGCCTGTCATAGCGCGCTCTCGCTCCTGCAGCTGCATTTGCAAGTTGGCTCTCAGGCGGATAGCAGCGTCGCGTACAGCGTGCTGGTTGAAAGAGGGCTTCGACACGGTGTTGATGATGTCCTGGAGGTCGTCAAGTCTGACACCAAGCAGCTCACGAAGCCAGGTGATCTCCGCGTCCCTCTCCTTGAGCTTGTTGGGTGCTTCCTTGTCAACGGAGCCAACTTCTTGCTCGAGCTCGTCGATGCGCGACTCCCGCTGCTGCAATTGGTCCTGGAGAACAAGAATCGACTCACGCAAAGCCTGAGGAGAGATCTTCTCAGGAACGTCAGATCCCTTAGCAGGAGGCAAAGATTGCGAGTCTGATGCGCCAGGGCTGACCTTGGCAGTCTGCGCTGCTTCAGCAGCCGCACGAGCAGCAGACTTGGCAATCTCCAGCTTCTCCTCAAGGTGGCTGACGCGGTCCTGAAGGTGTCGCGCCTTGTCCTCCGACAGAGCCAACCGCTCAGACATGTAAGACTCCTGTCTCACTTTGTCCTCCGAGTTGTTGTGCATAGCACGAACGTGGCGCTCACGAAGGTCGTTGAGAACACGTTCATGCGCCTTGCGCTGATCATCGAGAGCCAGCTCCTTGGATGCCAAGGCCTCGGCCTTGGCTTCGTTGGCTGCCTCCAGCAGCATCTCGTAGCTTTCGCGTGCGGTGTCAGCATCCATTCTAATGTTTTCCTGTTGGCTCTGAAGACGGATAATCTGCGCTTCCAATTCGGCACGGACGATATTGACTTGGCTGTTGGCGGCTTCCAGATCTGTTTCGAGAGAAGTCCTAGTGCGTTGGATCTCCATACGGCTGCTCTCGCGGGCTTCGTTGAATTCGCGTTCAAAGTGAACCGCCTTGGATTCTAGGCTGTGGTTCTCCAGTCTCAGGTTACCAACCAGCTCCTCCAGACGCGCGTTCTCCTGTTGCGACTGTCCAAAGATGAACTTTAGCTTAGCCGCTTCGCGCTCCTGCTGCTCAAGCTCGCTGATATCAACCTCAAGCTTCTCGCGCAGCTTAAGCTCTCGACTATACGCAGCCCGCAATTCATTGTTTCCAGCAACGTAGGCTTCCTCCTTGCGTCGCCAGTTCGCCTGGTCGCGAGTAATGTCACGGGTGACGTTGACCATTTCCCCCTGCAGATAGTCGAACTTGTCGCTGAGGTTCTGACGGATACTTATGCCGTCGCCAAGGCGAATCTGCAAGTGCTCGATAGTCTCGTGAAGCTTCTTGTTCTCTTCATTCGTTCGTTCCAGTTCAGCCTGCTGCCTCTCGTTCTCCCGCTTGTAATGCTCGCTTGAGACACGATGTTCGTCAATAGTGCCTTGAAGGGTGATGTTCTTGGATGAGATTTCGGCCAGGGTAAGCCTGAGCGACTCACGCTCCTGGGAAAGAGAATCAGACCGCGACTGGATGTTTTCGAAGTAAGGGATCTTCTCTTCCTTGAACTGGAGGAAGCGAGTCTCGGCAGATTCGGCAGCTTCACTATGTCGGGCAGCATCCTCCTCAGCGACCTTCAAGAGCCTCTGAAGCTCAGCTATAGAGTCTTGGCCTTCACGACGCATCTTGTATTCCTGCTCGGCCCGTTCATCCGCAAGACGCAGCATGTTCTTGAGACCATCGATCTGAAGCATAAGGCTGTCAGCTCCAATCTCCTCAGCATCAGAAGGACGCGAGTTCTGCATCTGGAGCTGCGAAGAGACAACCTCCTGGATCATGTTCTTCAAGTTCGCAGCTGGGTCTTGAGACAGCTTCTCGGAGGTGAGTTCTCGTAACTCGGCAAAGCTCTGCTTAAGTTGCAAAAGTTCGATAGTAGCGGGAGAGTCCACCTCCTGGGGAGGAGCATGAGCCGCCAATGCTTCCTGGATGACATTCTTCAGCTTGTCGAGTCTTCGGTCTTTCTGTTGCTGCATAGGAGACTTTGGTCTGACCGACGAATTGTCCTCATACTCGTCATCCTCGTCATCAGCATCGCTGTCTTCGCCGGTAGCAGAGGTGCTTTGCAGCGTCCATTTGTTCTGAGCTCCCGAAGCAATAGATGTCACAGATTGCTGGATAACACCCAAGGCCCGCTCAAGCGGAGACAAACGCTCCTCAACAGCAGAACCAACAAGGTCATTGATGCGACGATCAAAGAATCTACTCCGGTTCAGCAACTTGTCATCTTCGCCCGAGGAAATAATATCGTCCCAGTCGCTGATACGATCATTGTCGTGTAGCAATTGCCGAACAGGCGAAGTAATGGTACCAATCATGCTCTTGGAAGGAGTAACAGAGAGCTGGGACCGAGACTCGAAGTCGAGCTTGGGAATATCCAGTGTACCCCGTCCAGGACTGGGGCTTGGGGCTTCGCTCCTGATCTCGGCTGGCACATGTCGCTTCTCTTTCGATGGTCCGGCAACGGGCTCCGGCAGCTTTCTCTTAGGTTGAGGGGTATTTATTCTCTCGATACCAACATCAGAGTCATCGTTCAGCTGCTCCATAATAGCATTAAGCTCATCCTCGTCAGGCGACTCTTCGCTTGAGGTGTACTGCGGTCTAGGAGCTTTGGCTTCTTGTGGCTGGTCCTTCTCAGCTGGCTCCGGACGAGGAGGCTCAGGAGGCAACGGCTTCTCCTTGGGCGAAGCTGAAGGGTCTTCAACGGCGTAACGGGAAGACATCAATCCATTGGCAGGCTTCTCAGGGACGCTAGGAGACTTTTCATTCGAAGGAGGCACGAACTCAGGCACAGCGGGCTTGAATTCGAAGGACTTCGCAGCTGCTGAAAGGAACTTATTCTTCAGTGTGTCGGTAGAAGATTTCTCAGCGCCCTTGTCCTGTTCTTTAGGAGCAGGAGTTGGTGCCTTCTCTACCGGTGGCTGCTCAGCAGCCTTTTCGGGACCTTGCTCTGGCGCTTGGTGCCGCACCGGTGATCCTGATGTCTCAGCCTGTTCCCTACCCTCCGCAGGCGCCCATGTTGAAGCCTCACTAACTGGCGTGTCCTTCCGTTCAGCAGCAGCCAGACTCTCCTTGCTAGGTGCTATGTTTCCTTTGCCATCTGTCTGCTTGTGGGGTGCAGTCAAGTCCTGGGAAGCCTTGGCATTGTTTGTATCCGTCAAAGCACGGGTTGGCACGCTGAGCTGCTCTTCCCCATCAGAAGGCTGGTCACCACGGCGCGCACGCTTGTTGCGGTCTGCAGGACCTGGTTGGGCATTCGCGTTTTCTCCCTCAACCCCCTTGTTCTTTTCCTTATGTTCGCTCTCGTCTGGCCGCACAATGGGAATTGCTTTGGACTTCTTGGCGGGTGTCGAGACATCCGAGATATCCCCAAAGATTTTGGTTGTCTCTCCAGATGGTTGTCCAGAGCTTGCAACGCCGCCAGGATTGAACGCAGGAGCATCGACGTTGAATGAAGCGGAGGAGAATTTGAATTCGTCGGGGCCAGCACTCTTCTGGGAATTAACTCCAGGGGGGTTGAACGTGGGAGCTGTGACATTGTAGGAGGCTGTAGGAGGCATAGCACCCTGGACACCCTGGCCAGTGCCAAAGGTGAACAAAGAGGGATCCACCCCTTGGAACTGGAAAGCATTGTCTTGGAAACCGAAGTTCTGGGACGCAAAAGTACCCATAGGATCAAATTCCTTGGCTTCCACGTTGAATGTCGACGATGACAGCTTCGAGCGATGCGATTCCATACTTGGTTTCGACTCATGCCAGGCGATGTCGTTTGCGAGGGGGCCGTGACCGTGAGGTGCACCGGAAAGACTTGGGTTAGTATCGATATCAGAGCCATCATGATGGTTATACCCATGGTATTGATTAGGATCAGCCTCCGGCATAGCCCATTTAGAGTGCAGCAATCCAGAATTCTTAAAACCATCACGACCTGCATCCCGGTCATCCTCCTCTAGTTGCCGTTCGATCGACCTCTCCA